TCACACCACCTGCCACTGCTCCCTAACCCCTACAGAGACCACTGCCACAGGCACTGCTCCTTACACTAGTACATTTTCTGCACGAGTAGCTCCCAAAGCACTGCAAGCATCCATGGATCAGCACTCTTGGAAAGGGAAGGAAGAAGGTAGATAAGTGATTGCTAGGAGAGGATGTGAGGAACGGCAGAACTGAAGGTTTTCCAAAGATCATCAGTTAAGACTTTATGAGCAGCTCATTTCCTGTAAGGAAATACATTACTAAAATATTCTACAGGAACTCAGGAAGACAGGGAAACGGCAGCTGGATACCAAGTATGTCTGTGTTTGACCCTTTTGAATGTAAATAAGATATAGTGGTACACCAGCAGAACTAATAAAAAAGGCGAGTGATTATAAAAATAATTAAAAAAAACCCAACCCAAAAGCCTAAGGGCACAAAAGATATTTAGAATTCATACACAAAACCAAAATCAGATTCATGCAAAGTGCCAGTCCTCAGTGGCTATGCATGCAATTGTTCAGTATAAATAAGGAATAACAGTAAATAATGTTTCATAACTAGACCTTACGTGCTTGCCTTTACCTGGCTGAATGGGATTAAGCTTTGGCTCACATGGTTAGTTTTACTGTAAACTTTTCAGGCTCCTAAATATTTACTGATGTTCCTCATCACAGAATTTCACGTTTATACACATGAAATAGTTTGAAATAGTCATGTTCATTAATTACAAAAACCTAAGACATAAGTCTTCCTTGAATGTCAATTTTGTATCCATGAATCATGAGAGAAGACAAAGAAGAAAAAGTACTACAAGAATGATCCATGTAGAAATTAAACTATATCTCAAAGAAAAGATCTTTAAAGATCTATGGCAAGGAAAGCAGCACTCAAATTGCGAAGTATTGTTAGGGTTATTATGACCATTATTCACACACCAGGCTGCTAATGGGAAGCAGATCACTGTATCTGAAACAATGTAAGTGCTTTCCAACCACATCTGTAAACCAATCTAAAAGGGAAGCTGCATAAACTAATACACAAACACAACAAAGATGATAGAACTCATACAAGCTACTTTTGGTAAGGAGAGATGTAAATACTGCCTGTGAATGTCAGCTCCAGCTCAGCCCTGATAAGCAGACCAACCAAAATTACTTTGAGAAATCTTGGCACACACATTAATACTTAAAATTCTAAAGTTTGATGTTATGTCTAATTGCAAGAGCAACAGCAGACTTGAAAGTGTAATACATCAAAGAAACCAGTTAGCCCAGGAGACCTAACAGGAGGATGTCTTTACGTTGAGACTGATCGCTGACTCAAATTCAGCCCAAACTCACATCCATGACTGACACACCACAGGAAGCGCAGTACAGCATGAACACACCTGAGCAGCTGTCAACAAAGTTTCTTAGGGCACAGCAACAGCTGAGCCATAGCACTCCCCAGCTCCAGGGAGGCTCACTACCAATACGAGTTTCCCATATTGGTTTCACAGGCTGTGCTGAGCTCCAAACTTGCTTTCTAGACTGACAGCTACTTTTAAAAATATGACAGCTAGCTTAAAGCTAGCACAGATGTGTTCTACTCTCTGCTGCTGTCAGATGCAGAGATAAAAGCAAATCTGCTGTGTTTGAGAGTGCTGAGTGATCAGTGTAATTCTGCAATAACTCTGAGCATCTTATTTCAGTAATACAGAACAAGATAATTCTCACTCCTGGCATTCTTGTGAGTAGCTCCAAACTGGGCTGAACTAACAAAACAAAAGCTTTTCTGAAGCACAGGGTGCTCTCCTGGGAAGAAAGAATGAATATAACATGATCTTTTGGAAGGCAGTATACCAGAGGACCATTTCTTTTCAAGCAAAAGAAATCAGTGACATACGTAAAAGTCACTTCTGAGTTCATTTACATCACTACTAAAACCAAGAAAAGTGAATCTACAGAACCTGTTTTGTTTTTTTTTTTTAATCCTGTGATTCATATTCTGTAGCATCAGTTCCCTCCTCTCAGTGTCTCTCAATGCCTTAATTCATCACACACTTCCATGGAAATATTTCCTGGTACCTCTTAAGTGCTTCAGCCCTCTGCCCATCACTTCAGTACCCCCACCCTCATGCACAACCCATCTTTGCTCAGTCTTCCAACTTTACGCAAAAGGCAGTCCACCATCAAATGTAATTCATACTAATCAATGGATTCAAAAAGTTTTGAGGTAGAAGGGCCAATGGATGTATACAGGCCTGACCTGGTTTACCCCTGTTGCTTTAGGAAATCAGACTAAGAAATAGCCCTTCCCTCTGACTACAACTATTTTCCCCTCCCAAACCAGAAAAATTAGACTTGCTACCAGTCAATTGCATTAGGAATTGTCTTCCTGAAACAAAACACAGGAGTATTACAGAGCTGTTGCATAACACTGAATGCTATTTCATGTGAATGGAATGATCCATAGACATCAAATTATATGACTGTTAAGAAAACAAGCACTGAGCATGAGTACTGAGAGGTAGCAAAATAACCTTAAAAAAATCGTAAAAATTAATAATGTAAGATGCACCACACACCCCAATAAAAAGTTGTTTTGAAAGAATTCCACCATAGACATTAATTAATACAATTCTTATACAATAATTGTCACTATTCAATCTCTTTGGGCAATATAATTGTCACATATTCTTCTGTGTAACCTATACAATATCAAATTTGATGGAAATTTTTCACTTTTATTAACCTGGAAATGAAAACCTCTGCTCTTGAAAGTGTTGACAGCAAAGTAAATACAGAAAAGCCATATAAAGTAGGCAGTGAGCTAGCTGAAACAAAAACAGGGAGTTACTTTGCTTCAGGGAAAAATCAGATTTCCTGGGCTTCCCTGAACCTGCTAACCTTGTCAGTCATAATTAGATGACAACTGAAATGTTCTGGGATTTCTGCAGAGGCATTCTCTGAGAAGTGATCTTACGACATTTCAGAATATTTTAAAATGTCTTTTCTCTTCCAACTTGGCTTTCTCAGATTTGAAAAAACTCTTAAAAGGTAAGCATAATATGTCTCACTATTAATATGGCTCCAAACTGGCCATTTATCATTCTGGCTGGTCACTCCAGGAACTTTGTAAGGAAGTTCAACTATCTGCTCAGTCAAGACGTATTATTATCCTTTTCCACAAAAATGTCAGAACAATTGAACCAACGCAGCTATCCCATCTGTCCAAGACACAGCATACACACACACAGACAGAGACACACAGGACTTTCAAGACTCACACACGAAGATATAGAGGCTTTAGAAGAGCAGGGATTTTTAAAATTAAGCATCCCACCAAGGAAGCGCTTGTCAGCCCTACTCACGTTAGCCCTGCAAGTTTCAATTACACTTTTCCTGAACCAAATGTAGCAATTACAAGTTCAGTAAAAAAGCAAATACTATTTGCCCAGTAATAAGCTTAACTAAAAAGTACCTTAAAGCACACTTGAACTGAGCCTCCAGTGGGGTTTCTTCTGACACATACCTTAAGATACTGAAAACACATCTGAAAAAGCCAGCCCCTTGACAAGAATAAGTGTTTCCAGACTCCCTTACATAGGAATGTTACTTGTGATGAACAAAGAGCAGTAACATTCAGTAACAAAGAAAAAGGGGCAAAATCTTTGAATCTATAGATCCTTAACTGGAATGACAGAAATTTCCAACCCCTTACATATTATAATGGTATTTCATACCTGTATTACTGGTATTCCAAGTTTCCATTTGCTACAGTAATGCCAAAAATTACAGGACTACCCTGGTCCTCCTTCCATATGGTAGTATAACCCATCATTAAAGCACGACCACAAAAAAAAAAGTCCGTAAAAGTCAAAAAGTTCAGGCATGAGTACAAGAGAGAACACAGATGACTAAAAAAGACAGTAAGGGAGACAGCGGCAGGTGAAAGAGAGCAGATGATGTGATCAGTGCACAACTGACTAAGCGATCTGGCAGCCATCTAACACCTCTTAGAACCCATCAAGCTGCAGAACAGCTGGTTCAAAACGTCAGTACTGAGAAACTCCAAGGTTTTTTCTCCACAAATCACTACATGTCATCACTAACCTTTACATTAGTGGTGAGACATCATGAGATTTGCCTCCCATGGTCTCACAAGGTACCGGATCCTCCGATCCATATGCACTAGTCTAAGATGCAGCCAGAACTTAAGGATCCATGTTTCCCACTACCCCATGAACATTCAGACCTAGTGATGCACTACACTTCTAACTCCTCGCTCCCAACAACCTGAAGTGGCATCAGGAGCTGCTTGTGACACCCACCACCAAAGGGACACCCACCCAATGATGAGTATGAGGGACTGATTTCACACTTCGCCTCTGCCCCAAGCATGTCGTGATGACTGACTACCCTGCGCTTCAGGGGCCTGCCGCGACGGGCCCCAAGGGACAGGTTAAGGAGGCTACCAGAGCATCGCCCCATCGCCCCCATCCGCCATTTCCAGCCCCGACGTCTCAGCAGCCGTGACAGGGCTGTGGGTCGCCAGTTCTCCCCCCTCTGCCGCCGCATGACGTCACGGCGCCCACCTCACGCCGTGACAGCAGTGGAGCCGCGACGCCAACCCGCACTGAGCCGTGACAACCCCGGAGGACCCCTCGCCTCGCCTCGCCAGGCCTCCCCAGCGCCGGTCTCCAACCTACCCTGCTCGCCGGCGGTCGCAGCCATCCTCCTACCTCCTCCCCTCACTCGGGAGCTGATGCAACAGCGTGCCCGGAAGCGTCGCCTCGCCTCGCCCCGCCCGGCCCCGCCCGCCTTACGCTACTTCCGACGGGCGCACCGCGTCACCACGGCAACGGGGGAGCACCGCCCTCCCACCCCCCACCGCGCTCACACCGCCCTCCCCCCAAGCGGGCGGCCATCGGGCTGTCGTCGCGTCGCGGGAGTTTACAGCAGCCGGGCTCCCCCCGCTACACCTCCCACCCGCAGAGAAGGTCCAACACAACCTCAGCTTCTGGCTCAGCCAGGCTTTTATTGCTGTGCTCCAAACGTAACAGTTACATGCTCGTAAAAAGCAAAACACAATTGTTCCGGAAACAGAGTATGGCAATCTTCTCAAAAACAGTGGCAGCCTCTTTGCTCCCATTGCCTGGTCTCAAGAAAATCATGGTTCTGTCTCACACAAAGGGAAAAAACACGAGCGGGAGCTCCTCGCTCCCAAGCTGGCATCTGGCACCTGAGTTTAACATAATACAACTCAAAAGACCTTAGTGAACATCTCAACCAGAGCCTGTGCGAACACCGACAATGTTAAACCACTTCCAGCTCCCTGTGTGAAGGTGAGGAGGATATCAAGTCCATGCCACCGCTTTTCCTAGTAGTTTGCTGATGTCCTCATTTAAAGGAAGTTTGTAGACATATATATGTATAAAAGAACATTATCCAAGTTAGCTGCAAATATTAATCTCTAGTTTCTAACTTACTTATAATATTCTTACTTTTTAAAGTGTTCAATACATTATGATAAGCCCTGGTATCTACTTGCCTTAACTCATCCAGTAGCTTAATAATAGACTGTTTCTCCCCCAGTGAGTTTTTCCAGAGGAGAAGCATCTGATAAGATTGCTCTTCTATATCATCTGGAAAGTTATGCTCAGTTTTATTAATAGAATTTTCCTCCAGATGTTTTCTCATAAACTGCTTCCATTTTTTCTGTGGTACTTCTTTTATAAAGACCAAAAAGCTGTCACTCAGCTCTGAAAGAAAAAACACACAACACACATCAGCTCAGGGTTTAAAATACAGACTTTTTTTTCATACCTAATGTACCTGCTTTCCCATTAATTTTCAGCCAACACATGCACAAACCAAATAGCAGCAGGAAGGCCAGGTTTGTCACCTAAGAAGCTGTGGGACAAGTAGGTTTCCTACTGAGTGGTCTTGAAAGAAGCTAAAAGTATCAACCTACATACTGCAAAAGTAGTCTCTTAAGACACCATTCAGTAGAGATAGTTTTGAGGAAGCTTTCATTGTCCTGCACATCTTAATTTAAGCATAATAGGGCTAACTCAGCAGTAGGCTATAACCCCTTCACTATGTTACTGGTTAGATTTGCCATGCCAAGACTAGCACAAGCAAAAGCCATTGCTTGGCCATCCAGCACACCTTGCTGGGTAGAGGTAAATGTATGGGGATACAATGTAGTCTTCCATGTGAGCAGACATTTGACAGAAAGATGCCCTGCTCTGACCTGCACCTCACTCATTAAGGTAGAGTACACTGCTGCAACGCACAATTGTTTAACACACAAAAATTTTGTACCTTTCTTATTTTTAAAAGCATGACTGCACTATACTCCTGTGTAGAAAAGCCATGCTTTACAAAGTAGAACAATTCACCACAGGTATTACAACCCCTCTCAAATGTAGTAATAATCCCGTTTCATCATATTTTACAATAAACTGAAAGCCTTATAGCTTTAAGCAATATTCACTGGCCTCCCTACACTAGTCCTGAAGTAGACTACAGTTAACAGGAAAAAAAAACAAACAAATTCTAAATACTGCCAGTTTAAGGAATACTCACCTTTTTGAGAGAGATCTTTAACAGTTATTTGACACTGTGGTTCTCGTACCTGCAATGCAAAGTTGGACCGTCACTCCAACATATCAGACCATGTCACTCAGGACTGTTCCTGAGCCATTTGATAGCTTACTTCCACAGCACGCACACCAGTAAGGGGGAAGGGGGCAGATGTCACAGCACAGCTGAAAGTATTTGAATAAAGAAAATTGAAGCCTGAAACAGGCATGCTACTAGCTCCAAAGGGAAGCAACAAGGCAACACATTTGCTGCTATTGCAGAAGAATACCTTCTGTATAAATATTGATCAAGGAGATGAGAGAGGCAGAGCAGGGGAAGTGGGGGATTGAAGTTTACTTTCCCAAGGTATCACTTCCCATACTTTCTATTACATCCTCAAGGCAAAGCTTTCTCTTCATTATCATTCTGTCTGTAAACAACATCCATGACTCATGGAATAGTCAAGAACTCAAGATTCTACACCTACCAGAGAAAATACAATGATAGCTTCACACACACACTTACCATACGATTTACTGGCATCCTAACTCTCGGGCCTTTAGATGCGGCATTCTGATGAAAAGCAGGATTCTGCCCAGTTTTTGCTGGTAGAGAATGCTCAGCAATCCTCCTCCAGCAACTTTCTACCTGGCACTTCATGCCACACAGACTGGTGCCCCTCTCAGAGAGTACAACACTATTTTCCTCTAGTGATGTGTTTTTCACTTCCAGGTTAACACTGGTTTGCACTTGGCCTTCTAGGCTCTCAGAGTTGTCATCCTCTGGGTTGATTGTGTTGCTTGCAGGTGCCTCCACTTCTGTTAAAATAAGGCTTTCAGTACTGCCCTCAGACTCCTGCAAAGAATAAGAACATATTTCAAGGCCAGGCTGGAGGGGGCTTTGAGCAACATGCTTTAGTGGATGGTGTCCCTGCCCACGGCAGGGGTTTAGAACTAAATGATCTATAAGATCCCTTCCAACCCAAACAATGCCAGGAGTCTATGATGCTTTACATATTTCATAGGTAAGCCTTCAAAGACAGTCTGTAGGAAGAAAACAGAATACCTTAAGTCACCAGATGTCAGAGAAATAATAGGAGAACTGATAATTTGGCAAAGTTACAAACATGCAAAAGTTACAGCCTTGACAGACATGGACTTCAAATGGTTTCCAAGCCTCAACTCTCCACTTTGCTGACTGTTCTGCTATCACTGGACTGCAGGGTAAGGCTCACAGGCTACCACCACAACAAACACAGGAAACTTTTCTTAGTGCTTTCATTGACATCTATTGCTGCTTTCTCCTCTTGTAGGTATGGAAAGTATGCACCCTTCCTGAGGCAAGAAGAAATTAAATTGCCTTGCCACACCTGAGCTGACTTAACAACAACAGGAGCCTCAAGCCTATCATTGTATCAAGGCTGATGCTCTCAGAGCTTTTGTCAAGCTGGTAACAGCCTATCAGCTTCATGTAAGTGCACTAGCTTGGGCTTTTTTTTTGGCTGGATTAGTTTTTCTGCATATTCTCAAACTAGAATCACTTGAAAGGAGACAGCACCAGTGCATTTGTGAGGGGACAAAGAGGGATGCAAGTGAGGAGAGCTGCATCATTTTCAGCATTGTTGATACATTAAGCAAGCATATGGCAGGGAGTATAACTCCAACTCACTAAGAATAGCACAAGTACAAAGCAGACCATCATCTATCGCATCATCTAGTGCTAAAACTGGAAAGCTATATTTTTTAATCTTTTTTTTTTTTAATGTAGAAAATGAGCATAACAAGCAGCTGTTGTTCCAACTGACTTGTGTTTAAGGTACAGTTCCACAGGAGCATAAGCCAGTGGGATTTCTGTTTGCAGGTCAGTGACCTGTGTGCAACACCATCATGTGGCCAACAGACAAACAGGGATGTGAGGGGAACCACCCCATGCATCACACATGTAGCTGCACATCATTATGATTGAATTCACTTTGTGTAAGGGTGCAAACACATTAAAACAAATTGATCCTATTTCTACAGTATAGCTCTTAAATAGGTAAGTGAGCAACTGAAGGCACACAGCATGGCTGACTAATAGCTGCTCCTCCATTTTAGAATGAAATGAAGTATTAGCAGTAGGTTTGGGGTTTGGTTGGTTTGTTTTTAAACAACAGTATAAACTCAATGGTACTTAGGGAAGGATAGTTAGTGAAGGATAGTGTGTTGGTGCCACACCTGTTCTGAGGATTGCATCAGTGTTAACTCTCCTTGACAAATTAGCTTATGGTTAGGGTAGCATGAGCACTCCAAGAGGGCAGGCGTTGCAATTCAAGCGGTGACGACTCGTTATCAGAGCTAAGCATCACCATACATCAACCTGTGACTGTATTACTCTACTACCATTTTTTTTTTTGTATTCAGATTAAAGAGGTGTTAGATTTGCCTATTCCTATGCTGCAGCATTTTCACCAGGTTTTCTGTCACATTTCTTCATCAGCTTCTACAAAGACATGAAGTACTGCAGATCCGGCCTGTTTGTGGGGAAGAGACAACTCAACAAAAAGCTATTGGTGATTCATGTATTTGAGTCACTTATGGACCTTAAAAAAAAAAATAAGACTTCAAAGTGATGTTTTTAACTTATCTTTCAGTTCCATTTCCTCAGTCTTCAAGTACTTTTTATGTAATTAAACAGCATTTAATTATTTGAAGTGTCTAACTAGTAAGATTGGACAAGAGCTCGCACATGAAGTAAACAGAGCATGCATTGTATGGGAGGACAAGAAAGGCAACAGGAGAAGGTGCTGTACACATGCTACCGGAGGAATTTGGATGCTTTTCTATAGATCCTCATCAGGACAAATGCTTGTTTTGCAGCTTGGTGTTACACATCATTAAGTATACTAGTGAAGACTGAGCTCATTTTTGCCTTACTGTAGTGTTGGGAGCATAGCTTCTGAAAAGAGTAGCTAAACGCAGGCTAGTAATGTATTTATCTTGCAAAGTGTTAGACTAGAAATAATCTTTAGTCTGAAACATTAAGGTTCTGAAATAGTGTTTGCCTGCAGGAGTCCAGGGTGAACTTGGCTTTCAAGTAAAACATAAACCAGCAGCCAGCATTTAGCTTGGTAAACCCTTTCCAGGGATGTAACTCTGAACAGCTGGTATGCTCAGAACCCTGAGCCCCTTGTCTTATGGGACTCTATAGGACCAAGAAGTCAGACTGCCAGGTCCTGGTCTGCAGCTTATACCATAAGCTCAAAGGCAGAAAGATTCAGTCACTTCCCTGGATCAAGAGAAGTCAACCTTATGAACAAACAACATTGTAGTCAAAAATGCAAGGGAAGCTAGAACACCACACAAGCAAGTGATAGCTGATGTTGCCTGGGGCATATACACATGAAGCAGCAAAGAACTAAATTGGATCAGGGCATCAGCTGGAGACAGTTTAAAGTGAAAGCTTGCACTTAACCTATTTTTTTTCCAGTTTCAAAATTTCCTGGGCACAGGCTCTGGAATGTTTCCAAGGGAAGTACTGGAAAGGTGAACTGCAGTGGGCACATGCAGCTAATGAACTCATCAGGCCCTTGCTAACTTCTGGCCCTGTATGACTCACAGCCTGTTGCATCCAGGAATGCATCCTATCAGAGGTCTACAGTGAGACAAAAAAAAAAAAAGAAAAAGAAAAATCGAGGGCTGTGGATCAGGTACAGTTAGACTGCACAAAACCGAGATGAAATGCTTGGATCCATCACATACTTACCAGACCCTTCTCTGCATCTTTATGAGGTGAAGCAGCTGGAAAAACAAGAAAAGTGTCTAAGAAACTTTTAGGAATTGCAGCAACTCAACCATAGCTGAATTCACACAAGATTTCTGTGCACTAGACACATCTGTAACAAACACAAAAAAGCTCCAGTACAAGCCATTTAGTTTTTCTCATCTATCATGTACTTCATGAGTACTACCCTTAGCTTCCATCAACAGCACAAACACCATGCCTTCATACAGGGAATAAAGCATCCCACTTGGCTAAATACAGACCACATGATGCAGTTTGGCTTTTAAGCCAGACTTCCATTCCTGCACCTCCTCACTTCTCCCACCTCCAACTTAAGCTTCTTAGCATTTTTGTGGGCTATTGCAATACAACAGAGAAGACATAAATTGTCCGTACTTTAATACCATCAGTGAGACATAATTGAATAAGTTACCATTCAAAATTCAGAATAATTTTCCACATTATTCTAACTAAACTAGTTAGAAAACCATTTTAATATGCAGTAGTGAAAAGAAGCTTCTCAGGAAAACATCTCCACTTCCACAAAAAAAAATAATTCACACATGACTTTATCAGCCTAATGTTCATGTTAAGATAGCCAAACAATGAAAGGACAACAATTTGTAGAAAAAAAAAAATCCCCACAGTCAAACACAGAGAATCAAAGTGGTTAATGATCTAATTAGTTCCTACTTTTTGCCCCATACATCTGAGCTTGTGCCCAGATTTTAATTCCTCTTTGCCAACGCAGTGTAAGTAGATAGGAAAAGTCCTTTTAATGATGCTATGCTGATCTGGCTTTGAAGCAAAAGCATCTGTCAGCAAAGTAAGGAAGCTCACAGTTAAAGTTCATGTACTTCATTTACTGAGCAAAGCTAGTCACCATTATATGAGAGTTAATTAAATTGCATACTAAATGAACTAGAGCTTAAGTTGGTCCAATATAATTTAACACAAAAACCTGGGACAGCCTTAGTGCATGCTTTGCCTAGTTCTTGAAAGCTTGTAGATAGTAATCAAGCAGTTACCTTTATTACACTTTAGCTGTTTGCATAGACAGAAGAGCAAAAACCCAAGGGCAAACAAACTTATCACAATAGGAATCCAAACATGATCTGTGCTTCCTGCAATGGAAAAATGAATAAATAAAATAAATAAAAAAATCAATACTGAAGTAGTCTCCAAACCAGATATTCTGAAGCCCAAATCTTCCCTACTGTCCTAAAGAGCAGACCAAGCTCAGCACTAGAAAAATAACTCAGCTAGCTCATACTGGAAAAAGCACTGGGCCTGAGCTTCCAGAACACTCAAGTACATCACACATCATTATTCTAAACGCAACAGGGGACTTTGTACAGAGCTGTGATACAGCTTCTATGAGGCTTTCTGATGAGACATTTAAGACAAGGGGGAAAACATGTACGTGAAAGATGACAGCAAGCTTCGGGTGCTGTAGTGTTGATACTCTCAGTTCCTTCTTTAGTCTGGTAGAAGCTATCCACCAGCAGGAGGGAAAGCTACTCCATATGCAGCTTCTCAGATATAGAAAACAAAGAAATCTTTCCACTACCCATAACTTTCCACAGTGTCACTACTGCAACTTTGAAAACCCTGGCAATACATGTAGCTTTTCATAGAGTAAGGTTTAAGACTGTTTGCCACTCCAACCTCTTTGAGAACTTGTCTTTGGCAAGTAATTCCTAAATAAAAATACAGAAGCTCTTAAATATGTCACAGTAATACAGCCACTGTTTTACAGGCTGCTCTGGTGTCATTAGCCTGAATCCAGCAACCCAGCAAACCAAGCCAAGTGGTATTTGTGTACCAGACCTTGATCAGGTAAGCCACATCCTAGGTCCATAGTAGCATTGCAAGTCTGCACAATTTTTTTTCCTTCCGGACACCTGAAGTGGATGGCAACACAGGGTTGTATCTGTATTTCCAGAGCAATATGCAGCTCTGCCCAAGCAAATCTTTTTTGGGCAGAGCTTAGAGACATGAAAGGAACATGTATAAACAGGTAACTCTGTTAGAAGTGTGCCTTCTAACAACCCAATATAATATTGCAAGATTAAATAGAAGAAAAACTGATAAAGCTCATGCGTCTTAGCCTCTAAGAGGCACAGAAAAAGCACACAAAGTAGATGCATTATTCATGCACAATTAGTTTCCTTCAACAGGTGGCTCTACCTCCTGAAATTTTTGACTGGCTGATACAAAGCTCATTCAATTGTGTATGTGTAACAGCAATAATCTGAAAACATGAAAAGTGTAAGATTACAGCTATAAGCAACAAGCACTACAATACCAAAATATTTATCTTTCTAGGTATCAACCTCACATATTTTGACATCTAAAATTTAAATGCATGAATAATGCTATTTGGCTTCAGAGCAATTATTTACTGCCTAATAACATGGTTTCAGTATTGGCACAGATTTGGCTGCAACTCTAAACATTCCCTAGAAGGAAATCAGTCACTTTTATTCATTAAACTTACATTGTACTGCATTTATGACATATTTCACAGCCTTCAGCAGGGCAGAAATACCCTTGTTTGCATTGGCATTCAGTATCATGTGTTGAAGTACATGGTCTCAAAATTGTCTGATCTAAAAATAAAACACAAGTTACAAAAGTTGTGACTCTACAACTGTGTAAAAATTATACCCACGCCATAAAGACAATTTATAAGTTCGATATTCTCAATGGCTGGAAGTGCAAAAAGCCATAGGACCAGGCTTCCCACGTTAAAAAGGGGGGGAAGGGGTAAAGGTTTCAAAGTTGATTTTGGTACCATCTTTGCACTGTCTGCATGACAAGCATTCTTCCAAGCCGTTCTCATGGGTGGTATAACCTACTCCTTCAGTGCAAGGGACACATATTCCTTTTGAATGCGGAGCTCTGCAATGCTGAGCAACGTAAGTACCTGTGGAAGAGGAGAATCAGCAGCGATCTCAAGGGATCATTTCATAGGCAAAGGACTGCAACAGGATGTTACAACACAAAGCCATTTTTTACGAAAGTTAAACCTCCTCCTCACAAGCGAGCATTGTGCCATGTGAAGCGAATGGCGCAGCAGGACCAGGAGGCACATTTGCCACTCAGACAGGGAGATGTGGCAAAAGAGGCATCCTGCCAGGCCTCCATCAGAACATAGGGACTAGAACGATGCAAAGCCAGTGTCATCCTCCTTGACGGAACACATGGAGAATTGCCTGTAACACCCTCTTTTCTCCTTTGCCTGAAAGATGTCTAAATACACCCGATAGCCTCTCCAGTACAGTAAGGGCAGTGTGCTTCTTGGCACAGGGCTTGTGAACTCTGCACATTGAGCAAGGATGGGGGAAGAAAGGCAAACCAAAGTTTTACCTGCAGATACAGAAACATCAGAATTCTACAAGGACCCTTTCTTTAAGAAAAAAAGGCCAACCCCCCCCCCAAAAAAATAGCCAAAAAACCCACCATCACCACCCCCCCCCCCCAAAAAAATATAAAACCCCACAAAAACCAACACCACCAAAAATGAACAAAGCCCAACAAACAAAACATGCCACAGAAAAACCCGACTCTGAACACTTCATCCTTGGCAGCAGCATGCAGAGGTCTCCTGGCTCACTGCTAAGGCACATTTCCCAGTCATCACCTATTGTACAAGACGCTTCAAAACAGAGCCCTGCCTTAACAGCACCAAGAAATTGCCACAGCTCCGGCGAGGCTTACATGTTCACCAGATGCAATGTAAAACCAACAGCGACACAGCCACCTCCATCGGGTAAAAACACATGCCCAGTATCAGCTACAACTGCTAGGTGTCTTACCTGCTGAACAAAATACACAGCAGTGATCTTCGGCTAAGTACTCCCCGTCCCCACAGTGCTCTGCTCCTCGGGCTCCAGGCATTACCAGCAGTGAAACCTACAGTGGAAACAAGCAAGTGCTGGAGTGATTCATCCTCCCAGGACACGATAACCATCTCAGGGTTCCTGTGAAGACTTCAATGAAAACATATTCAGAAGCTCATGAGAAAGCCACAAAGGAAACCCAAACTAATTTCTGCTAAATATGCCTCTCTCAGCGGTAATTACAATCACAAAGCTGGGGTTATGGCTGTGGCTGGCAGGGTTTAGGCAACCGTTGCCCTGTATCCCCGCCTTGGTTTTAAACTGTTTTGACCAATTCACTGCAATTGAACTTCAGAGGCAGAGACCTTGCGCTAGGGATTAATTTATCCCTCCTTGCGCCTTGTTAATCCAGGAGGATCAGCGTTTGTCTTTCTCTAGCAAAATGGAGGAAACGCCCCACAGACCTCATCCAACATTTCTCACTGGCACTGTAATCTTCAGAAGAAGGCACGCAGTTGAGTCACCAACAAAAATAACCCACTGGGGCCACAGGAGCATTAGGAACTCGCTATATTTCAATTTTATTCTGATACTAAGGGCCCCTCGGCTGCCCGACCCTCTCCGACACCCAGGTCCCAGGCGATCAGCGCGGGCCTCGCTCCGGTGCCGTGGGCTCCGGGCCACCAGTACACATCGCTCAGGAAAAGGGCGAAGCGGGCAAGAGGAGGGGAAGGGACGGCGGCGGAACCTCCCGCCGCTAATTGCCATCGGCGGCCAATCTCTAAGCTGAAACCGAGAGTCCCTGCTCCCCGACTCCCGCTCTTTCAACTCTCCCCCTGGGACACGAAAAGTCTTTTCCACAGTTGCAGAGTTGAGAAAAGCACCGATTTCCCAAGCAGACTACGTGTAGTGCTATTGAAGAGCTCATTCCCGGCTTATAACTCTTTTTTTCCGAGAGGCAGCGCGGGGACAGGCGAGACTTGCCCCTATCCCGTGGTGCGCAGGTGGTCCTGCACCCCGCAGTCCGGGCTGGGTTTACACCCGCAGCAGCTGCGCTTCCTCGCCCTAATTCAGGGAAGTGGTTATTAACTCAGGATTGCCGAAAGTACAGGCAACAGGAAAAAGAAAGTTAAAGCAAGTTACTAGGTTCCTCTGAGGAAGAGAAGAGTAGAAAACCCCGCGAGGCTCCTCCACGTTACTCCACTGGCTGCGGCCAGGTACCAGCTTTACTGGCGGCGAGCAAGTGGAAGACGAGCCCCTCCTCGCAAACAGCGAACAGGACCACAGACTGTCCCGCCTATCCCAGGGCCGGCGCGAAGCAGCGCGGCCCCAGCACTCACCAGCAGCAGGCCCACCGTCCCTCCGCCTGCCATAGCCGCACCTGCGTGGCTCCACCGCTGCGCTCCGCCCCGCACTCAGCACGACCACAAGTCCGTCCCGCGCCGCTTTATAGCCGCCGTCGCGGCCCCGCCCTCCGCCCCCGGGCCTCAGAGCCCTCCGCAAGAGCCCTCGTGAGGGCAGAACGGGGCTATGTCGTGGGTTGAGCCCGTCCGGATAGGTGAGAGAATCTTAAGAATGAAACACACGGGTTCAGATAAGGGCAGTCCAGTAACTAAAGTATAATATAGAACTACTACCACCAATAATGATAGGGGAAATACCAAGGGGAGAGAATATAAAACTAAAAAGGTAAAGGAAAAAAAAACATGATAAACACAAGTGATGCACAACACAATTGCTCACCACCCGCTGACTGATACCCAGCCTGACTTGAGCAGTGATCTGGGCCTTCTGGGTAACTGCCCTCAGTTTATATAGTGGGCATGACTTGCTGTGATATGGAATATCGCTTTGGTCAGTTTGGGTCAGGTGTCCTGTCTCTGCTTCCTCCTGCCTTCTTGTGTCCCTCCTCACTGGCAGAGCAGAGACTGAAAAGCCCTTGATCAGGGTACGCAGTACTGAGCAACAACTAAAACATCTGTAAACACGTAAAAAATTATCAAGAACAGCATTGTTCTCAGACTAAAGCCAAATGGAAATATGTGTCCCAACAGCACACTGCCCACCCACAGGGGTCAAGGAGCCCCACGTCATGCCTTAGGAGATGCAAAACCCAGTACCACGTTTTACACGTATTAAGAGCAGGAGGAAACCACATTAGGAAATGGTCCAATTGGTGTCTCCCCGCCCACAGCTCACATGCTGCCGCTGGGCTGGCTGCCCACGGATTGTGAAAAGGATGTGAAAGAGTGGGAGGAGAATTTTTCCAAACGTGCACAAACTGGGCACATAACCGGGTTTCTAAAGCCCTGTGAAAGGGGTTCTCAGCTTTTCAACAAGAAATGACATTTCTGACCGTGATTTTCCTCAAGAATACCTTTCATCCTCCATGCGCACGTAACTGGCATGTAGGAACGTTCACCTCCAGATGTTGAAATTGGATTAAAATTAATAGCACAAGGATTTATAGATTGTTCCTTTCTGGATTATTTTTAATTCCCTGCGGTAGCAGCAGTAAATGTAGGAAACTCCTTCTCTACTGATGCATAATTAGTTTATGTAGGTTAATAGTTTTTCACTGAACTGCTCCTCTCATGGTGACAGCATTTGTTTTATTTAACTGCAGTAACAAGTCGCAGTGAAATCCCTATGGGTGCGTAGCTTGCTAAAATGGAATTGATCCAAAGAATTTCAGGCATTCGCTTTGCAGTGAAGGCAAAGTTCCTGAAGGCCTCCTCTTAAGCACTGCTTCTCTTTGGTTCAGGTGGGTTTAGGGATCTATTTTAATTTTTAGTAACTTTCTCAAACTCAGAATACATTTGCACCCAAGAGAGGTAAATGTCCCTATGGTAGAGGCAAGACTCCAAGCAGTAACTGCAATACACGGTCCATAAGGGGGCTGTGTGATGAGGAAGGCTGTGCTGACAGCCAGAGACATGTGACCTGCTGTAGCATTCAAAAGGAGATTTAGGCAGGAAAGTAGCAGAGGTGTTTGCACAGCATTAGGAGAAACACTTCCATATTGCCTACTGGACCCTGCATAGCCACACTGGTGTTACTAGTGGCTGGGCATTCCTTCACAGGCACAGACAGAAGCTGGGGGACCCCCCCTCACAGATGGTTAGACCACGGGTCAGACTCCCTCAGCAAGGAGTGACTGGGATGATGTCCTTCAAACCGGCATCTGACAAGAATTGACAACTCTGACATTCTGTAAGGATGATTCCTCAAGGATGAAGAATTCTTTGGCTTTCTGGAGACTTTTGCTAATAGCAAAGGCACTCTCACCTGTTATTATCTGTTATTTATCTCTTGAATGTCAGTTTCTGGATAGCAGTTCTTATCCCATCTGTTTATATCAGAGGGATGGGGTTCTTTCCATGGAACTATCTGTTCTCTAGTGTCAATTTACTTCCTTAGTATAAAAGATTTTCTAACCCCAACAAGTCTGTACATTTACATGTACTACAAGAAAAATCAAGGCAACCACTTTTCTTTCTATTTTGAGGAAGTTGTTACAATCAGAAGACATGGTTAATATGAGCCAGAGGGTGTCAAAATGCTGATGCCGTTCTAACTTAGGGCTTATGTCTGAGATTCTTGAAGACCTTTTCCTGTAGCTTTTCCTCTAGAAAACCATGGCCTAAAAGATGTTTACCTGTAAAACACTATAAAACACAAACCTGAGTTCAAACACACAAATAATTTGTCAGACAGCCAGCCACTGAAAGTTGTGTGTAGTTTTATTTCAACATATCAAGCACAGGGTTCCCCTAACTGGGGAATATGACAAGGAATGTACTTAAAAATTTGGAAACATTTACATTGAAAGATAGCCCAGACTGGCACCACCACTAAGTATTTTAAGGCTGTATATATAGCAGTACTTACCACTTGGAACTACTTCAGGCCAGAAAAGAAAGGCTTAGTATTGTCTGCAGTCTACAGAAAATATTGCAAATCTTTTAAAAATGGTGTAAAATAGAAAGACTATTAACAGAGTTGAAGAATGCAGTGGCAAAACCTTTCCTCCTTCCTGACCTTTGACAATAAATGTGCCTAAGACCAAACACACATACATCTACATCATTCCCATCCTTCTCACCTATCCTGGGGCAGTGGATTCTTCTCTACAATGCTAGTGTGTGATATTATAAAATAGCCATATAGCAAATAGTAACAATAAGTGACCAGGTTTTATGAACAGGCGTGTCTGATGCTACACTTGATGGGCCTCATCCGGGACATCAGCTCTGTAAACAAACGAGGAGCTTTCACCAAAGACTTCCCATTTCCTAAAGAGGAAAGGCTGTAGGAAATTGTGCATATTTACAGTTTCCATGGAATGGAAAACAAAACACATTCTGAGGTCCCATTCTGTGTGTGCTGACAAAACAGATCATGACTTAATATCCTGGGGGTGAATTGTTTTGGACCAAGTGTGCTCCCTCCCATAATCAAAGGCAGCCAGACAGGCACCATAGACATGGGTTCTTTACAGCTCCCCAGCTGCACTCTCTCACTCAAACAGCTATGACCCCAGCTAGCATGACCTTTCCAAAATGCTGCAGTGTTTACCATTTTGAAGGTACCAATACTGCTGGGTAATTATTAATTGCATCAGAAAATGACAAGACATAGAAAACAAATTGCACAATTAAAGCTACATTTGGCTTCAGCATTAAGGCCCATACAGGTTAAGAGGTCCTTGAAGATGTACATGTAAAAGGCAAAAATGACATAATCTGCAGGAACAAAGTTTTGCAGGTTCCTAGGTCCCTTTTTAACCTCGTTTTTCAACTTCTTCCATCTGTGCCGTGTTGGTTCTAAAGTGCTTTGGTGCCTCACTGGGCTCCTTGCGTGAGTGACCCCCCGTCCTGCAGCCAGTAATCATTATTGCTGCCAAACGTAGTGACTTTATTTGAAGACATAATTAATGAATAGTTGACACGTAAGAAAGATGCAGAGGAGAAACCAACAGCGAGAGTCTAGGAGGAAGCTTTCAGAAGAAACTTTCTTGTGGAAGGACTTTTTGTTCAGAGCACTGAGGTTTCTGGAAAAGAAAGCAGCATGTTTATTTGTGTGTCAGATGGATGTGTGCAGCCACACCTGAGCTTCCACTCTGGGAACGACCCCCTTCAGAGATACCCTCATGGGTAGAGCACTGTGCCCCTCAGACTTTGTCTTTTTGACAGAAAGATAAGTACTTGTGACTGCTGCTGGATCAGGCAGAGCATGGTGGATGGCATGAGAAGGGGTAAGGGCATGAGCCCCAAGAAATCTCTTCATGTGGGCCCCACTCACAAACCTACGTCCTAACTTTCCAAATATAAGGACTTGCCCTGGACACACCCAAGAGCAGCAGAGGAAATCTAAAGACATATCACCAATTGCTCTGGCATTCAGAAACACAGGACCTTAGGTGATCCCACTCCAGTGAAGCCCCAGGAGGGCTGGGTAATATTCCTCATGCAGAGGGGAACCAGCAGGGGTCCGTGGAGCAGATATAACACTTAATACCTTCCCTGCCCTCCCCACAGGAGTCTGAAGGGCAAAGCCCTTTGCCAGCAGTAGGTTAAGCAGGTGTCCTCACTGCTTTCCTCAGACAGCAGCTAGCCATTTATACAAAAGCAAGAATTCAGTGCTTTTCACCCATGGAGCCCAGTTTTCAGGCCACACACCCACAACTCTGCAGCAAATGGAGCAAACTCATAACATACTTGATGAGAAGGGAGAGCCCATGCCTCCCTGCCTGGCAGAGATTTATTTAGAGCCAGGACCTGCCCCAGCCCCTCCCAGCTTCTGCAGCTGTTTTGCAGTTGGGAGTATCAAGAGATGCTTAACATGCTGAGGGATGCTTTCTGCCCCATAAAGAGTCTCAGGAGGAAGGAAGAGAGTTCCTCACTATTTCAAGTAGTGGGTGGGCTTGCCATTATGGTATATTAACAGGTTACTGAAACACTCCTGCAGCTGATAAAGTGGCAGTGGAGGAGTTAAATGCCACAAGCTATTTTTAGCTCATTAAGATCATTGATTTGATAAATTGGTTACCTGTGTATGTCCTGTTGGGCTCTCTGTAGGGATAAGACGGCTGAATGAATTTCCTTCAGGTGATTCATTTCTTTCCCACACTGAGCACACAGGCTTTCAAACCCTGCAGCAAAGTATTGAAGGACACTGTTTTGCATCACCAACTCTGGTTCACCCAGCAAATGGCTGGCTTTGATCAAACTGACAGAGCCAGGAGGGAGACACTTTCAGAAGTAAACATGGGGAGAAGGAGACATGGGACAGGATCTTCCATCCTGAAGACCCAAGTCAGTGGAATAGGTCCCATGACACTGCTAAGGGCTTTTCTTCAGTTATCAGAAAATAGTTTTTGCAGTATGCTCCCTCACTGAGTGGAGGAGAATGAAGGTCACCCCCAGCAAAGGCTGAGAAAAGGGAATGAAAAACTAAG